CCCCCCCCCCCCCCCCGCAAATGAAATGGAATTTAAGACTGCTTCAACAGAAAAACAACTTCTAAATTACAGAATGCATCTACTTTATTCTGCTTTGGTCAGCCACCACCTTAAGTACTGTACCCAGTTCTGGGCACTACAGAATTCATAAAGAGCAACTGAAAATAAAAAATTGGAACAGCTTCAGAGGAGGGCAGCTAGGATGCTTAGGGACTAGAAACTAAGTCCTATGAAAAGTGATTGCAGAAACTGGGCATGTTTAGCCTTGAGAAGACTAGGATGGGATACCTTAGCACTTTTCAAATACCCAGAAGAATGGATTCCTGCACTGAACTAGAGGTTGGATTCAGCAGCCTAAATTACCCCTTTCCATTCTACAATTCTATGAGAGGGAGAAAGCTGTTCTATGAGTTTGGTATAGATTCACTCTTAGGTCTCAGGTATGAACTGAAAAAAAGATGAGCTTTTGCATACAAGGGGATTACAATGCCACCAGAGTGTTTCATTATATTTAAATTTGAATACTATCTCCATGAAACAGCCCCCCCATCCATTCTTAACATATATGATTAAGGATGTTCTACCACATTATTTCCCCTACTTGACAAAATCCATTTTCCCTAGTAAAACAATCCATTTCACTAAAAACTTCAAAGTTTAAGATATCTCCATCTGTTTCTCTTTTCCTGAGGGTGATCCTTCAGTTAGGTGAGGTACAGTAAGTTTGATGTTCTACCACATTATTTCCCCTACTTGACAAAATCCATTTTCCCTAGTAAAACAATCCATTTCACTAAAAACTTCAAAGTTTAAGATATCTCCATCTGTTTCTCTTTTCCTGAGGGTGATCCTTCAGTTAGGTGAGGTACAGTAAGTTTGTGCTATGCCAGATTCATCAACCTTTTGCAAAGTTTTGCCCATCCTTGGCTACATTTCTATTCTTCAAGAAGTTAATTTGCTATGGTAACATGGAGGCAAAATGCTAAAGTGATCTTAGTTGTACTTATCCCTGTCAAAAAACTGCATAACATATGAAACTGGACTCCTCGGGTTACATATTTGCTCACAGTCACTGATACCCTCATGACCTGTTGTCTGGATTACTGCAACATGCTCTACATGGGGCTGCCCTTGAAGAGCATTCGGAAGCTGCAACTGGTCAGGATGTGGCTGTGTGGGTAGTAAATGGAGTCAGATATTTGACACATGCAACACCACTGGTACGTGAGCTGTATTGGTTGCCACTGTGTTTCCAGGTGCAATTCAAGGTGCTCGTTGTCACCTTTGAAGCTCTTCATGGCTTGGGAACAGGTTACCTAAGGGATGGTCTTCTCCCAGTTATTTCTACCTGTCCAGTTTGGTCTGGCAGGTTGGACATGTTGCAGGTCCCATCAGCCAAGGAATGTCGGCTGGTGGGGATTAGGAGACGTGCCTTCTCTGCTGTAGCCCCTGCCCTCTGGAACATTTTCCCTTCAGAGATTAGGATGACCTTGACCCTGTTGGCCTTTCGTAAGGCTGTGAAGACCTGGCTATGTGCCAGGGCCTGGGGCTCCGAGTGTGTTAAGGGGCCTGTTTCTTGGTGCGTGCACGCATGCGCTCTCTCTCTCTATATATATATGGCAATACTTGGCGACCATATATATTTGTATAGTTTTAATTGTTTTAAGTTTTCATGATTATATGCCACCCAGAGTCACTTGTTGAGATGGGCAACTATAGAAATCAAATAAACAAACAAACAAACAAATAAATATTCTTATTCTTTCCAGCTAACTAAATTTTTTTAAGCCTAAAAAGCTTGTGTTATTTTTGTAGCACAGAGATCATGGGAATGTGTAAAGGAAGGAATCCACTAAAATCTCTGTGTACAGTATTTATTTATGTGGAGGTAGAGTTTCAATAGGACAAGCACACACTTTGCTCTTGCATGGCACTGGACATTATTTCTCTTTGAAATAAGCGAACTGTAAAGGTAAACATTCCCCTTTTGCTTAAAACACACGGGAAAGCAACATGCATAGGGAAGCCAAGGAGTTTTATGAAAACTGGTTAGTTCTAGATGACTCAATATCTAAGTTTTACTAACATCTGCTTGCTGGACAAAACAAAGAAGTTATGGTTAAGGATATTGGCAATTCTACAGACAAGTCATGCCAAAGTGTTAGATTTCTAAAGTTGATATAGAAAGAGCTTGGTAAAACCTAGAAGCTGAAAAGCAAACAGAGAGTGATTTAACCAGGGCAAAGGATTCATGACAGTCCTGCACTGATAGGTCACATCTCAACTGCTCTGAGACACAGATCAAATCCAACATGTGACCCTCAGCATATTTTGATCCCTCAATAACTTGGGACAGGTTCATGTCGGCCATGAACTTCTGAGCTGCCCCGACTCTATCCCAGCAAAAGTCCCCAAGGACTGTAAACCTCAAGGATTCCATGCCCACCTAACAACAGAATCCAGCAGCTCAGGCAGGGATGCTGCCAAGTACCAGGAAGACCTGTACAACAGCAACAAATCCTGCTGCTCCCTAGTCCTGACTTCAGCCAAATAGTCTCATATCTGATTATCTGCAGAGCAGAGCTTCTGAAAGCCTCTAAGCACTCACAGATGACAGTTGTGACCCCTCCCTCACTTCCCTGGGCTTGTGGCTGGTGCCAAACCCAAAATCCAGCTGGACGGATCTCTGAAGGGGGAACTCCTGCCTCTGAGGCCATTAGTCTCAATTACACATGCCAGGTTGGCTGCCTCATTGTAGAGGAACATTGAGATAACCTTGACATAGGTACTATATGCAGGAGATATGTTAAGAGAGGAGAAATGACAGCTTAGTCCTGGGAAAGGAGAAAGCATGAGAAGAAATTCACTCCACCTTGATTCTGTTTAGTATAGGAGGAGACAAATGGAAACTCTGGTAGTCTTTCAAGATTCTGTTATTGTACCCTACAACAATACAATAGTGTTACTGAGACTCTGGAGCTGTCTGTTTCCTCATCTGGTCTACCTTGAAGGGTTGACACTCACCCTTAAAGGGTTGATCATACAATCAAATCATGAATGAGGACAGTCTTATTACACACTGACCTGTTGCTCATAAGCAACAACCAGAGTCCAGGGCCATTAAGATTCTGGGGACCAGACCATGAGGCAGAATACTGAAAACTGGAAGGTGGGATCAGTTTCAAACATTGAACGCACCATCTCCAAGAGCAGCCCATTCTCAGATCCACTCCATACCTACCTTTTCCAGTCACAACCTTAATGATGCTATCTATCTTTCTTCTCCCTCTAAATCCATCCTGCCTGTACTTACACCTTCTCAGATCATAGAACTCAACCAACTACCCACTCTCTGTATCACCAGCAATTCAAAGCAACAATCCCTGGCTGTTCCTGCATTCAGGCACTCAGCAACAAGTGAATATTATGGTGCACCCACTATTCCATCCATCCATCCATCCATCCATCCATTACAATACATATAATCCCATATATTAACCTCCTCCCCTCCCCGCTTTGCAGGATATTAAAAGATTTAGAAAAGCTAAAGTAAGAGCAAGAAGTCCAGTGATCAGCCTCAGAACTGATAACAAAGATGTTAAAGTAGTAGATAGCTTTTGCCTTTTAGGCTTAATAATCAACAGTGAAGGATACAGCAGTCAAGAAATATGCCACATATTAGCACTTGGTAGGGCTGCAGGGAAGGCCTGGAAAGAATATTCAGATGCTGTGAAACAACTACTATCTACCAAGATTAGAATCATTCAGAGAACAGTTTTGTCTCTGACACTCTATGGATGCAAATGGGGGACTTTGAAAAAGCAGGATAGAAACCGCATTTGAGCTTTTGAATTTTGGTGCTGAAGAAGACTCCTGAAAATACCATGGGTAACCAGGAAAACAAACATCATAATACAAATTAACCCAGAATTTTCACTTGCACAAATGGCCAGGCTCAAACTTTCATATTTTGGATGCATTATGTGAAGATCCAGCTCCCTTGAGAAATCCATAATGTTGGGAAAAGTTGAAGGAAAGATAAGCGGCAAGATGGATGGACTTGAATACAACAGAAATGGATGTACCCCTGAGAGACATAAAAGGCCAAGCTGAAGATAGATCATCCTATAGAGAATCTAAGTGGACACTAAGAGTAAAAACCTGCTTGATGTCATTTAATGAATCAGCCTTTGGGCCAACATTTTTATCATTTTAATTATGTGAGAGTCATCTGATGTATAAAATTGTAATATTTCATGCAATCATTCATCACTTTATTGGCTAAAGGTATATAGCCACTCAGACTTAACTGATAAAATTCTTTTTTTCTTCTTTTCAGCTACATAAAAGTCCAAATACATCAACTTTATTACTGTTTTCAAAATAGGCGTATTAGAAATGCCAGGAAGGGAATGGACTACTCAAGTTAAATACAGGGGAAAACTCAATGCTTTGTGTCCAGCTTGGACAAGTGGGCTATCAGATGGTTTTTGGTTGAGAAAGGCAGTGTTTATCTATGCTTGCTTTAAACCTAAGCCCATAAGAAATATTTTTGTTATAGTTCCATGGCTTGGTATAACTCTACCTGTTCTATTATTTTTCAATATGTTTAGAGAGAAAAATATAAATGTAGGACAAATTGCCCATGTGTTGACCATTTTTGCCTGATTTTAGAAGCCAGGTCAAAATTTGTAGATGCCAGATTCTCGTCCATACCTCTCCTGTGCCATCTTGGTTGTTGAGAGAACAGTGGACAGTGGAATACTTCTAAGCTGCTGAATCATTCCCACCCCCAGGCTGTAGAGCAGAAAGAGGCTCCCTGGCCACATGGGCTACATAATTAGCAAACTTATCTGTCTAGCACATTTCACTTATATTGTATTCCATTTGTCATTAATACCCTGGTAAAAATTATTTTTCAGATGAAGATGAAAAATACTAGGTCCTAACTTCAAGATACAATGCAGGAATGATATTGCAAAATCATCCAAAAAATTAGATTATATGTTGATATTAAATATTCTATTATTTCTTTCTAGTTTTTGGAATCCCGGACAGCCAAGCAAGGACATCAACAAGGACTGTGGGATCATGCACCCCAATGGGACGTGGGCATCTGCTGTGTGTTCCCTTCACAATCAGTGGATCTGCAAAAGGAAATTGATCTGCTGAAACAATTCTTTGAGCTGTGTGCTCCTGATACACGACTGTATATAATCTTTTTTTTGCTTGAACATCTTCCTTTCATATCTTGTTATATACTGCAGATGCTTAGTAGCTAGACAGAAGATAGCATCTTTTTATCATTCATATGTGACACACAATTCCATAATTGCCCATATCGAAAACTTATAGATAATTGTATGATGAAACAGTTCCTTCTCTGCAGTTGGTCCACTTTTCTCAGAGGTCTCACAATCATCCATATCAAACATGGGGGAGGGAGGGGATACACCCCCCTCAAATGCCTGCATAAATAACAAAAATCAGACATGTTAAATCCATGTATATAATACAGTATGTACATTGGCCCATAGAAATATTGTCAATTCCTGAATTGGTGGCCAGAAGCAGAAACAGTTGGTGGCCTATACTCACGATGGGGCAATCTGGCAGTGAGCATATGCCCAGTGTTTTTAAAATGGTGTAGCCACAATCCTAGTCATTCATGAATGTCTCATGGTAATTGTCAAGGCAATGAACACATTATTTTCAGGAAAATTCTCTGCAACAAAACACTCATAGTTAATGCTAAGAAATTATGATTCCTTGCATAAATCCCAGAAGAAAACCTTTTAGAACGTGAAATGGTCATGCTGCCCAAAATGCCACTCATTGCAGCTTGTTCTTCAGCCTTGAGTTTCAGATGTGTGTGAAATATTGAAGATTTTAAGAATTGCAGTGGATTTTTTTTCTTCCTTGGATGTAAGAAGATTTTTAACCTCTAGGGCTATGCAGATTTTCCATTCTTAAGAGTTACCCTACAATGATTGCATTGCCCATATCCATCTACATATCCCACTTCTCCCACCTCACTCACACAAGCACACATTAAACTGCTTCCCAGGCTGAATTGCTAGGTGGTAGGGAAAGTGAAGTGGGGAGTGTAAGATGCAACTTTTGGAGGTGTGTGTCCAAGTAGTTTAAATTCCAATATAATGTTTGTACCTTAAATGTGTTCTTAAGACAAGAGATACTATGGAACATTGATTGCCAGCTTAGATGCACTGCAAATCTGTGGACTTCAGCTTCCACAATTCTCAGCAGTGGTCTTGCAGGCTGGGGAATTCTAGAAACTACACACTGCTGGGCAAGGATGCTGTAGGGAGAGATGTAAAAGAAAGGAGGTGGTACTGTACTAAGCCTTTTACTCTATGCTGGTCATCTCAAATGCCAGTAATGATCAGTCTATAGCTCTTTACAATAATCTGTAACATAATTCAGATACTATCCATTTTGCCTCTGCATAGATAGCAACTCAGTGGTAAGATACACTGCTGCTGGTTTTGAGAAAGAAAAGCAAAATTATTTTTGAAAACTTCATTGTATACATGTTTTCATAATTCTGCATAGTAAATATACAGGTTACTTGATTTTCTTATGGTCAGGCTTTGCTGTCCTTATTATACTTATTTCCTATGCATATCCTGAAATTATTTCTTTTTAAATAGTTTAATAGAGTAGTTCATTCTTTGATATTCTTTAGTAGCATTTTAAAAAAATATTAATCATTTAGCTTTTACTTCATATTCAATAAAAATGATTGTTCTACTAATCGTGAGTTGCTTTAAAGATTATTAACTTTATGTAACAAAGGTACATGCCCAGTCAACCCAAAACAATGTATTCTCATCCATATTTACTCAGAACTAAATCTCAGTTCAGTGGGGCTAGCTCCTAAATGAAAATGTTCTGTTTATTTGGAAATAAACAGTATTGAGATGGAGGTTTATTCTTATGTAAACTTACACACGGTTGTGCTATTAAATCATAATGTTTACCTTAGCTCTGTCATAGAACAATATAATTATGCTTCCCAAAGTTCCCTTCTAATATCATTACAGAACATGAAGATTTTAGTTAATTGCATTCATACTCTACATAATCTAAATAATAACATACACTGTAACACACTGTATAGAAGTGCTTAATTGAGAAACAAAATACTACAGTTGGTAGTATTGGCCCTTTCAGGTTTCCAGGCACAGGATGAATTTATCAGGTGCTCTAAGTTCACTGCTGAGCTAGGTCAGAATATAAGGGTCCACCACATGAGTATATGCATGTTATCAAATCAAATCTTTATTATGGTCAATGGCCAGCATATATATGCATGTTAATTAATCAAAACAATTCTTGTTGGTTCCACAACCAAGTCTCTGGAATGCACATTTAGATAACGTTCCTACTCTAAAAAGGCCATCTAGATTAATATCCTTAATTAAAAGCCAGATATCTTCAGAAAACATTCCAACAAACCAACCAGGTAATAGCTCCACTATCAACCCCCAAATTCTGGACAAATCAAATATCATGGTTAATAATAATTTGATATGCTTAACCCATTTTAAGTATCTTGTAAGCTACTGGCCTTCTTATATTGAGCTAGAAGCTGGACCAGTCCTAGGGCATAACAAGATGGCCAGTTTAATGTATATAGCTCTAGTCTCTGAGCTGGCACAGAACTATACCAGCATAATTTGCTCTGTCCCAATAGTCAGTCCCTACTATACCCTTGGTCATGAGGGTCATGAGTGGTATTGTCCTGATAGTTTACCACAGAATACGTTAAGGTATGGTTTGGTGGATTTTCTGCCAGTGTGAAAATATCCACCACTTGCTCTCGCTAATGTGGGGCAGGGTTGGGGGAAGAGGCAAGTTTTTATAGATGACTAGACCAGTGGTTGTGGTAAGTAGAGGTTTCCCTGTAAAGCACAGTAAAAAGCCTGGAGGCTATAATTAGTCTGAGTAAGGCTGTGCTGTCCCACCCCTCAAGTCCAGCTGCAGTTGCTTGTGCTGGGAACAAACGGGGATGTGGGGTGAGCTAGGGAGACTATGGGTAGAAACTAGGACAAGTGATAAGGAAGTAGGATGAATTATATCAGCCTCTGTAGAACACTCAGCCTTTGTAAACCTTTCCCTTTTTAGAACTTTCATGTATCATGAGCTTGCCACCTGACTCTGTATCCATATGAAGGTTTCGTTTTCTTCCAACTGTTTATCCATCAATCCCAAAAGAAAAGTCTCTGGTTTCAATTGTATATTAATTTTTAAAATCTTCTGTATTAATATATGTAATTGAGTCCAACATTTTGTACCATTTTTGTGTGTCCACCAAGCATGATAAAATGTCCCTTCTTGTTTACATTTCCAGCATAAATTTGAAGTATTTTATACATTATAGACAATTTTTCTGGTGACATATACCAATGATACATCATTTTATGAAAAATTCTCTTTAAGACTATAACATAATATAAATTTCAGTCCTTTCAAACACATATTCTCCCACTATTCCATTTGTATATTGTAACCAAAATTTTTAGCCCATTTTATCATACATTCTTTCACTTGTTCTTCTGTTTCAAATACATATTCTCCCACTATTCCATTTGTATATTGTAACCAAAATTTTTAGCCCATTTTATCATACATTCTTTCACTTGTTCTTCTGTTTCAAATACATATTCTCCCACTATTCCATTTGTATATTGTAACCAAAATTTTTAGCCCATTTTATCATACATTCTTTCACTTGTTCTTCTGTTTCAAATTTCAGTAAAAGCTTATACATTTTAGAAATAACATGTTCATCATTTGTACACAATTCTGTTTCAAATTCAGTCTTACAATATTCAAAACCAAAAGTTCTTTTATCTACTTTAAATCTTTCTAATAATTGTACATAAGAAAACCATTGACCTGTGTATCCTTCTGCTGCCAGTTTTTCTCTTGATTTTATTTCACATTCTCCTTGGCAAAATTTTAGTACATCAGAGTAAGTTAACCATTTAAGTTTACTTATAATTTCTGTTCTATAAAATGCTTCTTGTGCTGAGAGCCACAAAGGTATTTTCGGGCACAACCTAGGTTTGTATCTGTTCCATGTTCTCAATGAGGCACGTCTAACAAAATGATTTTTAAAATCTAAATCTTAGCATTATTTTACTGTCAGTATTCCATGCCACCCAAATTCAGACTGTGTCCTTCAAAATCCTTCTATTTCTCAGCAACACCCACTCCTTCATGCAAACTAAACAAGTTGTGAAGTATCATTTCAAATCAGGTAAGCCCAATCCTCCACTTTCTTTTACATCTTGTAACACTTTATATTTAACTTGTGGGTTTTTTCCCCCTGCCACACAAATTTAGATATATCTTTCTACCGTTGTTTAATTGGTACATCAGATGTCAAAGTGGGTATTGTCTTTTTGTGGAACAAAAATAACATTGTGACTAAGCAGTGCAGTCATGTGACAATGAAGGTTTCATTTTCAACTAGATAGGTAGAGCTGTTGCTTGCTTCCAACACTGTGCATTTAATAAAGCAAGATTTTACTCCAAAGGGTGTGATTTCCATTACTCCAACCCAGGGAACAATTTTTCCCAACAAACCTCTTCTACTTTACCAAAAAGCAATCACTGACCCCATGGATAATCTGCAGACTGTCACTTGCTCTCTCACTCTATCTCTTCCACTCTCACACGCTTATCTTTGTCTCTTGCTCACATGATTGTCTTATCCATCCATCCATCCATCCATCCATCCATCCATCCATCCATCCATCCATCCATCCAATCTTTCTCTCACTTACCTGTATCTCTCACTCATTACAGGATTTTGCTCTATTGATCTCTCAGGCACTCTCATTTGCTTATCTTGTTTTTCTCGATTGCTGTCTGCCTCTCATGCTTGTTTATCTGTCTCTTGCTTTCTGCATGCAGGTGCAGGCTGTGTCTGTATGTATGCTGTTGATAGGTGCTGGTGTGTCAACTCCTGACTTTAGCCAGCATCACTCTGTTGTGTGAGCTGCTTGTCAGTTCAGGCATATCAAGAACATTCTGTTAACTTCCATGGGAATGGATCTTAATCTGGAATAATTCTATGCTTGTAGCATAATCATAACATAAACAAACTGGCTGATGTATGAAGTCTGGACAGAAGTAATAATGAAATAACCTGAAGGCAATGAAGTTGCATAACTACCAGGAAATGCAGTCATGCTGCCATCTAGCTGTTCACATTTTAAAACAAAAATTCCCAAATTAGCTATTACCTAAATCCAGTTTTTCCCACTTTATGCCTACCAGAAGTGTTAGATTATAACTCCCAGAATTCCATGCCAGCATGGCATTTGGCCAGCACTCCACATTGTTTGTGCACAAGTTTTAACCACAACGAATACTGTATGTTGTATTCATTGCAAGTGAACACTGAGCAGCAGTTACACTGCCATTGTAGTACAGTGTAGTGATTAAGGTTAAGTATTAGGACTGATTCAAGTTCATCTTCAACCATGGAAAATCAGTGAATAACTCTGGGCCAGCTGCTCACCCTCTTAACCCAACCTCCCTCACAGGATTGCTATTATGGGGAAAAACTGGAGAAGTGTGATATGCATGCTCCCTTGAACTTCTTGTGGAATGATGGGATAGAAATCTAACAAACAAACAAACAAACAAACAAATGGGCAGATACTGTCATAGCAATGCCTCACACACCAAAAGGGACTCCAGTATAGTTTCTACTAAGATTGGAGATCATGATTTAAAAAGTAGCATAAGAGGTGGACCATCAAGAGAGGGTTGGGCAAAACGTTGATGGCCATTTTGACTCCATAATAACAGTAGTAGCTATTGTAGATACATAAGCAGGAGACAGGACGCACAACTAGAACAACCATACAACATGATGGTAAATGCATGAGTGAGAACAAAAAGGGGTTTTGGCAAAATGTTCAAGTGGTTTTGGCAGGAAGAAGTGTTGGCATGTTTCCAGATCTTTGGCAAAAATTGACTATGGTGGCAAAAACTACATAATAGTGATCCCCCCCCACACACATAAAGCAAATTGTTTATGGGAACTGTTCAGTTGCATAATAGTGAATTCCCATAAGTCAAGGGAAACCTATACCTTGCCAGAGCTGTAATATGGGCCTATCTACACATCAGGCCAATACAATCAGACCGTTCAGTTGCTTAAATAGTTCTATGACACAATTTCACAAAGTGATCTAGATTCAAGTTATTATACAAGAAGCGAAGCCAAGTGCTATATGACTGGCCTCATAAAACACAGCGGTGAATAGAATTTGCTGTAAAAAGTGGCACCCCAAGCAATTACTATTCATGTACACTGACTGAACCCTTTTCCTGATGTTTCCTTTTTGCTGCTGTTTTCTCCAACCACATTCTATATTAGCAACTGCTGGCAAAGCTGGCACACATTTAGAAAGAGGAGAAAGCATGACTGATCATAGATGGAAGGATAAATTAGGAATCTATTTATAGACATTTTGTATCTGGACCTATATATCTTAGGAAGAGAATATTTATGTATTTCTCCATACGGTGATGGCACACTAATAACTCCAAAAAAGTTTCAAAGCCAAAGGACATTATTGTCTGTTTGCTTCTGGCAGACAGCACATAAGATTCCCATTACCTCCTCCAGAAGAGACAGGTTATGAACCAAAGCATTGTAAGTGCACGAGTGAAAAAATTCCAAGCTTCTTGTGGCTCCTGTCTGGTCATGCAGGGTCGATTTCAAGAGCAAGTAGTAGCTGCTGCTATTCAGCCAGCCAAAGCTGAATCAGGAACAGTATCTGCCATGTGCCATTCCTTCCTCCCTTTACTTCTTGGGATCATAAGGTAAAACCAGCCCGTTCTCT